TATCTTTCAGATCTGACATTACACATCTCGCAAAAGTGAAGTTCTTGTCAATCCATGATAATAGAGGATTCTGCTGATCAAAAGGGGGGTCAATGCTGTTCTCAAAGTGCTGTTTTCCCTCTAACATCAGCCTAGCACAAGATCTTTCTGCCCAAGTGAAAAGGGCTGCTTTGCTGTGAGGCAGAGATAAACTGCTACAAGCTGGCGATAATTCTTTTTCACCACTCCTGGCAGAAGTAAACAGATATATGTAGTCAAATGTTGGAGGGAGGCAGTATGCCGCTTTTTGAAAAGCTACACATTTGTTTAAGAAATTCAAAGGAAGGGCTAAGACTTTTGGGGGAACTGTCCTACTCTGGTTGTTAAAAACCTTCATGAGTGCTTTTTTATTGTAACAGAGCACAGGAATGAGCAGCCTGGAAATGTAACAGAACACAATCTGTCAACCTGCCCAGTGGTAAAATGCAGTACTCCATAGTAGTAGAAATGTTGCCAAGAGAAATGGGAGCCAAATGCCATATAAGAAATTAGTACAAAGTATGAAAATAGAAGAATGGCCCTAAGCTATTAATTGTGACATAACAGAAGCACCACACAGATACAATTCACACACACCAGGCAAGTCTAGGATAACACTAGAATTGTTTCTAATAAAACTAATTTGATTCTACAGACAGAAAGAATGGGTCACCATATCAGAAACTGTCCTCTCACAACTGTTCCCAATTTGCCTTCATTCTGGACAACTCAGGCAAGCATTTGCTAAACAGAGGCTGATTCCTTTGCATTACAGATGTGGTCACTTTAGAGTTAGTGCTCTAAGATATATGGAAGAATTAGGAAGCCTTTCACAGTCACTCCTGATGCTTTCATTTTGCTGAATGTCAACAGAGCACAGCAATCCTTAGCACTTACTTTAGCGCTAAACGTAATAACCTGCATGAAGTTCTCTCTGCCACAAGCCTTATTCATCCCTGCCATGCCGGTGCCTTTATAGAAGTAGGATACAAAGGCAGCCAACGTGAAGTGGAGTAATCCAGCTATCCAGAAAATCTTTGCTAGGGCAAAGTTTCAAATGTAAACCCAACAGAGAGCAAAGAGGGATATGTTACCTTGCGATTTCCTGAGGAGTCTCTCTCTGGCCTTCAGCACTTGTGAAATCATATCCTATTCACAGGCAACTCATCCTTGGATGGGAGACAGGGTGAGCGCTCTTCTGCCGAGAGATCAAGTAAGTGCGATAATAAGCAGATTTCACAGCAACCCAACACTTGGCTTTACAGAAGGAAGTTGTGTGAAGGCCACTTCCTGTTTGCAAAGCTCTCTGGCATCTGTAGTTGTGTTTAAATATCATCGTATAGAGTGCTGAAATTTCAAAAAAGCATTTAAGAAAAATACGAGACACCTGCTACATGAATGCCATCAGACGGCACTGGATGGAGTAGTCATATGTCCACAACTTTTTAACAGACATGCAGCAGTGGCTGGATCAAAGGTCCATTTAGGCTGGCAAGGGGTTTGCCATGGCCATCCTCTGAGGCTAGTGTGACTTTCTTTTACTGCTCAACTCCTGTTGGAAACTAAGGAGGGTTGAGACTGCCAGAAATAGTGCAAATTGAGTTCACTTTTAGGGTTAGGGTTAGGAAATCATGGGAACTGTATTTTATTGTGGCACCAGAGCTCTCTGACAGAGAAGGCTTAATGTCTCAGAAAAAAAAATTCCCATGGTTCCCTAGCACTAACCCTAACCCTAAAAGTGGACTCAATTTGCACTATTTCTGGCATTCTGCAACCCCCCTAAGGCTGCAAAAATTATCTGGTTTGACATCACTTTAAGTGCCATGGCTCCATTCTATGAAATTCTGGAATTGTAGTTTGCTGTGGCACCACAGTGGTGGTAATAATGTATTACTTCCAAGCTCTCTCCAATACTTGTCACCAAGGCAGTCTTCTGCTGGAGAGCTCCAAATCTAACAACATGAAGAGGGCTGATGCTTGTGTAGACAAAACAGATCTCTTCAACATCTAAGGCCCTTTCAAATTCCACAGTTATAGTGCTATGATTCTACTTTAATGGCCAGGGCAATATTCTATCGAATTGTGGGATTTGCAGTTTGGGGGGTGTTTGAATTCTCAACCTGCAAGTTTTAGTGTCTCATCAAACTAACCAAACTCCAGGATTTCACAGGATGCAGCAATGACAATTATAAAGGGGACTCATGCAATTACTGTATAGCGTGAAAGGGTGCTTAGAAGTTATACAGAAATTTCACAGTGAAAATGATTTCAAAATGTTACAAAATTTAATAATATCCATTACTAAAAAGGGGTTCAAATTTCCCCAAAGTAAAATTTCAGAAAGAAAGCCTGTATTGCACAAAAAAGTTAAATTCATTATTTTTAAGATGATTGAAATAGGGGGCATTCACACTATGAAATAACCCAGTGTGGGCTATTTCTTTGGCGTTCACACTTCCCCAGACTGCACTCAGTGCACTTTGCGGGGGGGGGGGGCTACCCCAAAACCAATTTAAACCAGCATATTCAAAACCAGGATTCTTCCTGCGTTCTTTTTTTTAAAAGATCCGTATCGTTGCAAACGTAAATGTGCTATCAAATCCATTTGGAGTGGTGTGCAACTATTGTTCCCAAATAGGAAGGCAGGGGTTTAGTAAGCAGAGGCAGAACATACACACCTCACCCAACTGTTGCCCTCCTACCTGGGGACCCTCCCCTCGTCTCCTGGCAAGGAGTTTGCCATGGCCTTCCTCTGAGGCTGAGAGAGAGTGACTCCTTCCAAGGCAAACCTATCACAGGGTCTTCTTGGCAAAGATTCTTCAGAGGGGTTTGCCATGGCCATCCTCTGAGGCTGAGAGAGGGTGTCTCTCCTCTGTCCCATTGAACAAAGGATGCAATAGTAACCATCAAGAGAAGATGGAAAGCAGAGTGATGACAGGGAAAGCAGACGCAGAGTGACAAAGATGCACATCACTTGACTGACATTTTTTAAAAAACGAGAACAATCAAATATGTTACAAATGAAGACTGCATTTTAAATCGATGTGATGGCAGCATGAACAGCAATAGGGGTAAAAATGCCATGGAGAGATTTGATAGGGGTAAATGAAGTGGGAACTTTGATTCGGTTTCACATTCCCGAGGAGATCCAAATCTCTTTGGTACAAAAACGTGAGTGTGAATGAGCCCATAGTTACTTTCAAAATGTAACATCCAAATTCAGCCACAATGGAAGCCAGCTTCTGTGATATGTTGTCCAGTCACATTCACACATTACACCAGTGCTCTAGAAAGGAGTATCACTGGTTCTGATTAAGGCAAAGGCATTCATAAGGGCACTCTATAATAAATGTTGCTGATCTGAATCCACAGCACCATTATGTGGCCATTTAATTGAAACAGCAATGAGCATTGTTGCTTGCCCCATATTGTCAGAATGGTTTGACTAAAATGTGTGCAAATAAATTTGAGCACTATAGGAAATGTACAGCTTATAAAAGCAAAGAATAAACGAACAGTAGCTAGGTAAATGTGAGGGGGCATAGAAAATTATATAGCTGCTTTGAGAGCCACAGCTGGAGGGTGGGATATAACTGTTTTAAATTAGGCAATTAACAAAATATGGGAGATTAGAGTAGAACAGCTTATGCAGGTACACCTATAACATGTTGGAAGAGTTGAAGTATTGTAACTATTTACAAAGCTAATACCCTTATTCCACAATTACAAAGGCACAGCATGTAGTCCCCTTCTAAGTAGATAATACAGGTATGCCACAGTTAACAAAGCAGATGTGTTCCCAGGCATTACTTTTTTAATTAAAACAAAAGTTGATTCCAGAAACATGGAAAGCATAGAGATAGGTTCCAGCACCACAAAAAATGTAGAGGAATTTAGCAAACTTTTTATTCAAAACTAACAATATGCACACATATCATGAAAACATTTAAGTAAGCTTTCCATGAGTAAACGAAAACATTTTGTATCTTCTAGGGACCACTTGAAGGTATCTTCCAAAATGAATCCAGGAATGACTTTTGGTTTCACCAGATGCCACTTTTCTCATTTCCATTTTGGTGGCCAAACTTCTAAATCTATGTTTTTTAACATGCTAGGTGTAGCTGGTGATGTAGGCTTATGTGTTCTGCCCTTTCCTCTCTGTTTTGCAGGTTTACACATGTCCAGTAAGCCAAAATTGCTTTAAAACCTCCAGCTAGGCAGAGAATGAGGAAGAAAAGGAGGGGGAGCTTAAAATGATTTTGCAAAAAGGACTTATTTTTCAGAGATTCTATTTACTGAGTTATGAATATTTTCTCAGAAACTTGCTTCAACTAACATAAAAACAGAAAGGTCATATGCTGAGACCGTATGTCTCTCCCTTTCTCTGCCATTAAAAAACCACAAAAGTAATTATACCAGCCTTGCATTCAGACTCTCAAGAATCTGAGGTCTTGTTTTATTTATTTATTTATTTTGTTGTTGTTGTTGTTTTTAAAATCCTATTCCCTGTTTTCACTGATGCAAGTCTCATTAAAAAAAATCTCAGAAACTGTGTAAGAAATAATTTAAGAATATAATAAAAAATATTTCCAATGTTAATCTTTTTTTTTTTTACAAATGCAGTTTTACTAATCAATTAAACAAAAGTGTGAATTTTAAACCAAGCTAATATAAATCAATATGCTCATCTACACAGCCATTTAAAACAGATTCCATGAAACCATAAAACACATGCTGCATTAGAATATGCTCATTTATGGCATAAGTCAACAATATGAAGTCCTATCAATTTCAGAAGAAAACATTAATCCCATTTCTTCTCTCCCTTGCAGGTATCAAAGAAGATAAATATGTTTAACATTTGTCTGCACTGTGCCTTTACTTCCCATCCCACAAAGAAATTATTTTAGATATCAAGCCAAACCATCCTATTTGTGTGCAACCCTACTCAAGTTTACTCAAGATCAAGAGACATTGTGAGAGGTAGTGTGCTGCAGTGGTTTGAGCATTGCACTACGACTCTGGAGACCAGGGTTTGAATCCCTGCTTGGCCATGGAAACCCGCTGGGTATCCTTCGGCAAGTCACAGTTTCTCAGCCTCAGAGGGAGGCAAAGGCAACCTCCTTCTGAATGAATCTTGCCAAGAGAATTCCATGATAGGGTCACCCTAGGGTGGCTGTAAGTTGAAAATGACATGAAGGCACAAAACAACAACTTTCTGCTTCTGGTATAGGAATTGCAGCTTCCTTTTTGAGAGCCAGCATGGTGTAATTGTTTTGGTAGTGTTGTTAACTTCTATCCCACCTATAGGGACTAATGTTGGAATAGGACTGTGAAGACCAGGGTTCAAATCCCTGCTTAGACATGGAAACTTGAGCAAGTAGTAGTCTCTGAACCTCAGAGGAAGGCTCAGAGGCAAATCCCCTCTGAACACATCTTACCAAGAATACCCCATTACAGATTTGCCTTAGGCTCACCTTAAGTCAGAAATGACTTGAAAGCACACAGCAACCCTACTTTGTTCTTTAAAATAAAAAAGGAATAATAGTAAATGCACATCTGGCAGGAATAGCACTTACTATTCACATCACCATCCTGCAAGTATATCTATAATAATCCACCTGTCTGGGGCTCGTGTATGCAACATCTGAAGTGAAGTATCAGCATGTATCAGAGTATCGTACTTCTCTGGCTGCCATATGTCATGATGATTATGAGAGGCAAAGGCAAAGGCGGTGACATCTGTGCTTAACATACATTACCATATACAGTACCATCTGCTGCTGCTCAAATATTATCCCCCAAATCCATGTGAACTTTCAATAAAAGAAGAGAAAGCAGTGGAAGAGGGGAAGGTTTCAAAATCTGTTTCTCTAAATATAATTTTCTCCAAACATACTTTACTCAGAAAATAGTCAAAAGACACACACATACTCTTGCGCAACTTTGGATTTCCTTTCTCAATCTTGATACATTTGAATGTTTTGGTACTGAATGGGTTGCTAGCCAAGAAGTGCAGCAGGAAGCTACAGAGTCAAGAGCAAGAAGCCATATTACTATGGAAACTACCCAGCCTTTTCCTGCTCAGTCTTTGCTTTTTTTAAAAATACAAATAATAGTACTTTTATATTACTTTAGCTGCTATGGTTACATCCTCTGGAATCCTGAGATTTCTAGTTTTGTGAGGTAGTTTAAAATTCTAAGCACACTAATGCCCTGCCAAATTACAAATCCCAGGATTCCACAGGATGCAACCTTGGCAGTTAAAGTGGTATCTAAGTGCATTAACTGTGTAGCAAAAGAGACTAAAAGCAAGCAGTGAATTGTTGCCTGCCTGTGAGATCCCCACTTTGAATTTCCTCATCAAGGCTATAGTTAGGACTATTCAAGCGGGCATCACCACAAGTCATGAAGGAGTCCATTTGAACATGTTTATCAGCTTGTACAACTGGTAGTACTTCTAAGAGGTCATAAATAAAAAAAAATATGATGTATCAGTTAGCTTTTACCAAAATCTTTGTTAACCGTAAGTAATAATTAAACTGCATATACAAATGTTCTTCTCTCTCTCTTTCTCTCTCTCTCTCTCATGCTCTCTGTACAGTATTATCCCCATCTGAGTGAAGGGCTTCACATGTTTACCCAAGACTTATGGCTCCATCCTCAAAATAGGTAGAAAAGCACAAGCCAGCTGAATAATTTTATAGTATCATAGAATTAAGAGAGATCTCAAGGGGCATCAGGTCTAACCCCCTGCAGAGGCTAGCATAGCATACCTTCCAACATTTCTTAGTGAAAACTGTGATATTTGCGGCCAAGCAACATCTGAATGTGGTCAAGATGACAAAAATTATAAATGAGGAAGAACACACAAGCTAGGAAGGGCTGCAGCAGTATGCTTTTTCCTGAGCTTTCAGAGAAGGGCAAGATTCTCACCCTCTGCTCCTGCTAAATTGAGTGCAAACGACTTTTGCACTTTAAAATCAATTGCACCAAATGAAGTAAGCCAAGGACAAAGCAAGAAAGTGGGAAGTGAAAGGAGAAATTGGGACATTTTAAAAGCAGCTGAAAAAGTGGGACAATGGAAGATTAACTGGGATTGTCCTTGACAAACTGAGATAGTTGGAGGGTATGCCACAGCCTTACCACTTAAGCAACTGGACCTAGTTCCTGGCTCTGAGCCTGAGGCTGGTGATGAGCGTCTCTCTGAACCTGCCAAGCAAGAGCCCACTAAAACAGCTGTTATAGGGACAAGGCCTGTAAAAATGGAACCACACTACTAATGAATGGCATATACATATTGATCCGAGGAATTGTGCTATTTTTTTTTCAATGGGCAAAAGTTTTAATGAGTGCTGTATTTTAAATTCTTTTTATAGTGTTTACAGTATTGTACATATTATGCTGTGTGCTGCTCAGAAAACTGAGTCTTCATAAATACATTAAATAAACAAATAACATTATACTTTTGCGTTCCCGCTGCTGTTGTTACACAATGAGCAGGACCTTACAAATGCTACAGCCTTCTCAAGAGTTTTCCACTCAGGAAAACTCTGTGTGTTTAACTGCATGCATTACAACAAAAGTGTTGTACTGACTGATTGATTGATTAAAATATTTCTATCCTGCCCTCAGGGCAGCATACAATTAATATTAGCAGTTTAAAACAGTTTCAGATAAAAACAATAGAGTAATTTATTTACAGCAAATGCATATTCAACAAATCACCAGGTTAAAACAGCAAAGAGGCTAAAACAGTTAGAAAGACATTCATGTACACTAGTGTAAACAATAGTAAAACTGCTAATCGATCCCTCTCCACTCAGTCTGCAGGGGAAAGGAAAAGATAAGAAGAGGTCCTAAAAGGTTGCAGCACCAGAAAGGAGATAGTCTGACTGAAACCATCTTGAGATGGGATAGGCAATTGTCCATTGTTAAGAACACTGACTCACACTGAGGTTAAACACCTGCTTCAGATATCAAGATAATGCTCTTGCACACCCGGCTTGGCAAGCTGGGATACAGCCTGTTGGATCAAGGGTAGTTTGAATAGTAAAATATGGAAAAGTTAGATATTATCTAAATCCAATCTCTTGTTATCATCGGTGCAAACAGAGAGGATAAAGGGCTGCACTATGATCAGTACCTGGGAAGGAGAAGACAAAGAGGAGGACATATTGCAACCCTCCGGTACTATACAATGGGTACCAGAGAAATAGTTTAGGTGAACAAAGTTCTGTTTACTCTCCTCTCCTCCTGGCTGCCCTGCCAATGCACCTCACTACTGACCTAAAGGGACCTCTACAGAGGCAGGGAATGAAATTCCCCCTCTGAAACACGTAGCTGCCAACTGGGAGATGGCCAACTGCTCAGCTAGCCAGTGAGTGACTTCACACAATGAATTTACTTTGCTGGACAGCTATTTAAGCAGCTTTGCTTCTTAAGAAGGTGTTTCAGATCAAGCCAAAGCCTAACCTGTTTTAGCAAGTTTTTGGCCAAGTGCAATCTGCTGGCTTTCTCCTGTGCTGCCCCCCCCAAACAATAAAGACCACTGCTTAACACATAAAGAAAGCAATTTCAAACTAAGTATAGAGCCACTGCCCCCTCCAGCAAGACCACTCACCACTTCTGGTGGCTGCCCTCACTAGAGGACTTCTGGGTGGACCACCACTCTTTTGCGGAGGTGACAGTCAAGGGTCCAACCTTCACCCTGTTGAAGCAAGAGCAGCCTCACTCTTCTGAACAGGCGGCTGACAGAAGCAACAACCCAAGCCTGAGAGGCTTTATCCCTGTGGCTTTAGAAGTCGATCTGTTTGCATCTCGGCAGCCAGAGCTCCAAAGCAGCCTAAATGGAGGGAACAGCACAGGAGGCATTGCAGGGCATGAATTATTCATTCCCTTGTTCAGCTGCCAATACATCTACATTCTTCGAGGCCCACATGGCGTGCCACTTTTGTTTTAACAGTAATGGAAGACATCTAGCTTTTCTTTGATGGCAAATGCTATCGAGCCTTTGCTCCACTCAAGGGCAACAGCAGGCAATCTTTGACCAGAGCAGGAGGGCCGCCACTCATGTCTGTCTTTCCCACGTTGCGCTGCTGGGGCCTCTGTAGCTCACCAGAGCCAAGGCAAAAACCACACCAGATATTTTGGTGAGAGGACTGTATATTGTGGTGAACGCTGAGTGACGGTGTCTTAGACTTTGATCTGTGGTACGCTTATTCCAAAAGACTGACCACTACTACCTTGAGATAAATATCCTGTTTCCTGCAAAATCCTACAGCAGCTAGCAAGGCAGCTTTAAAAGAAACCGTTCTTGGGTTTCCATTTTCTCATCCAAATGGTTTATCAGCGGAAGCTTCTCTGCAACATAAGTCCTGGCATGACAAAAGAGGTGAAAATGATTTTTAAAAAGACAGAGTATGCAGAGATTACAAATACATTTACAGTCTAAATTTGTGTTCTTGGTTCACTTGGTAAGGCTGGGTATCCATTTTGACATACAATTCCTACTTTTAAAATGCCATGATAGTTAGGGAAGGCAGAATTATGAGCATCTTGCTTATCAGGGTGAAGGGAGCTAAGGGACTTTGCAAACTGCCAGAAATAGTGCAAATTGAGTCCACTTTTAGGGTTAGGGTTAGTGCTAGAGAATCATGGGAATTGTTTTTTTTTCCTGAGACATTGAGCTTCTCTGTCGGAGAGCTCTGGTGCCACAATAAAATACAGTTTCCATGATTCCCTAACCCTAACCCTGGTGGACTCAATTTGCACTATTTCTAACAATCTGCAAAGGCCCTAAGTGGAAGCTATAATATAAGGCAGGTGTGGGAATCACAAAACCCTCCAGATGTTGTTGGACTTATTCCTCATCATTGCCTATGCTGGTTAGGGGTCCTAGAACAATTCCTACCTCTGATATAAGGGCCAATCAATGAATCGCTTATAATCTACCCCTTCTGTTGGGCAGCTGACAAGGCCCAAGTATATTTACAAAACAGTCAAGCTAGGCTTTCTTATTAATGTATGAATGTACTTCAAACATTTTTCACCT